ACAACATTTGCCTGAGCATTACATCTAAATTCATTACCAAATTGGAAAAACAAATAGAAAACAGAAAATAAAAAAAAGTAAAAAAAGAATTGAAATTAGTGAGCGAACACCATTTGACACCGCCATCTTTGGCGATTTTTCATTTTTGTTTGCCTTAGCAAAATGACTCCAAAATTGAGAGGCATGTACCTCACATCATAGAGAACTCATAAAAAACAATCAGGAAAAAAAAATAAAATTTAGGCATTAAAATGATTAAAAAAAAATAAAAAAATAAAAAAAATTGAACGCCGTTCAATTTTGAACGCGAACGCGCAATCCGCGTTCAAACGCACATTTGAACGCAAACACGCGTTCACGGCGTTCAAACGGACCCCCTAAATAGAGCAGACCGGTGGCCACATCGGACCCCCTGAACGCAATTGCTGCCAAATTTACAAGGATTTGTCCGCCGCCCGGTGGCCACATTGGACCACAAGTTCATTGCGGTCTCACTGGCATTGCATCCGCAGGTGATTAGGAAACCGCCAGCGATGTCGGCCCCGATGTGGCTATTAACGGACCCCCTGAACAAGCAGCTGGTACTGCAACACTGGGAGCACTGGATCCCGTTGAGACCTCTGCAGCGATCACTCATGGAGCATTTGCACCTTGGCTTCCAGGAACTCTCACAGATTATGCAGAATAGAGCGAGAGTTTCGAGGCTCGCCCACGACCAAACAGGGCAAGAGTACCTCCGCCGTATGGAGGAGTTGGGGGAGGATCCACCGATGGGGCAGGAAGAGGAATGGTGGGCGGAATGGGCTGCACTGCACTCAGAATGGGCGGGGTGGCAGGCGCGAGACGCAGAACTGTGGGGGCTGAGCTCCAAGGTCAAATGGGTTAGGAACGCGGAGCGCACGAGTAAGATGTTCTTCGAACAGATGAAGAAAGCGCACCACTCACCCCTGATCCTCTCCATGAACCACCCCTTCGACCCGTTGCAGCCGAAGGCAGGAAACACGGTCGAAGTCTTGAATTACGTGGAACTTTTCTATAAGGAACTGTACAAGGAGGAGGAGGAGTGGTCGCAGGAGGATATGAAGGACCTCCCGCTAGAAGAAGTCTGGTCTAAATGCTCTACATCGATCACAGCGGAGCAGAAAGAAGCCTTGGACGGACCCATAACCCTGGAGGAAGTGACAGGGGTGTTAGCGATGATGCAGAAGGGCAAAGCACCAGGCCCGGATGGCATGCCAGTGGAGTATCTGATGGTGGCGGCTCAGGCTGTTCTTCCGGCCATATGCGAAGCATTTAACTCCCTGTTCGCAGGGGAGGTACGGCCGCCATGGACATTCGGACAAGCGAAAATCATTCTACTGTACAAGAAAGGGAGCGTGGAAGACATCCGGAATTGGAGACCAATTTCATTGTTGTCAGCGCCATACAAGTTGTACGCAAAGGTGCTCGCGAACAGGGTTGGGAGACTCTTGCCTGGCCTCATCCACCCTACACAGACGGGTTTTGTTCCCCATAAACAGATTCTTGCTAACGTCTTGCTCATCCGCCAAATTTTGGAGATGTCACAGACAGTTGACCCTCCGTTGGCCACACTCTTCTTGGACTTTGAGAAAGCGTATGATAGAGTGCGTTGGCCGTTCCTCCTGCAGGGGCTGAGGATTAGAGGTATGGGAGAAGTCTTTGTGAAAGCAGTGCAGTCGGTACTGCAATCAACGGAGGCACGGATCCAAGAGAACGGCTTTTTCTCGGCACCATTAAGAGTCACCCGCTCGGTACGCCAGGGATGTCCGCTGTCCCCGGCTTTATACATTTTGTATGTAGAGCACCTCCACGAAATGATTAAAAGGAATGTGGAAATCAAGGGCTTTGTGTTGCCAACAGGAGGGGAGGTGAAATCGAATGTGTTCGCAGATGACACAGCCGCTGTAAGTCTGGCCACACAGCAAAGTGTATCTGCCCTGCGGAAGGAGATGGCCGGGTTCGAGAAGTTTGCAGGCGCAAAGCTAAACTGGAACAAGTCTGTCGCTGTGGTGCCAGTAACAGTAGAGGGCGATATGTTTCAGGACATGCGCACGCAGGACCCAGGAGTGCAACTTTCGTACCTGGGGATTAGACTACCAGCAGCCTTAGCAACAGGTCAGCAGCTGGAGGACTTGCTCCACCTGGCAGTCACACGCATGGTGGCATGGGGTAAGCGGGCTGCGTATGGGGTCTTTGGGAAGGTCCTGATTGTGAACAATGCTGTGTCATCAACCCTCTGGTATGCCGGGGCGGTATCGGACCCCACGAAGAGAGCCTGGAAAGAATTCAAGAAGGCACTCCGGAAATTCCTGTGGAAAGACGATCCACATGCTCCCCATTTGATATACCGGGTCCGATGGGAGAAGTTGGTGCAACCGAGAGCTGCGGGAGGCTTGGGTCTCCTGGACCCGCGACTCCAAGTTGTGGCCTTACAAATGAGAACGGTGGTCTGGCTGTTGTTGGAAGAAGACGAGGCGCCTTGGAAAATAGTCACCTTGCAGGGAATGGCGGAGGCTATCAGGGTGCACCCGGCGGATGTGGAAATAGCACTCCTATACCCCCAACTATTGGGCGGCCTCCGCCGAGGATCCCTGTGGACTCCGGTGTTGGAAAAGTGGCGAGCGGCGCCGCTGCGACATACCATCCCAAGCACATGCCAGCAAATCCTTCAGCAGACTCTATTTGGCAACCGGTTCATAATAGGCCAAGGGAGCGGATTTCCATGGCAAGGGCACCCGGTTGCCTTCGGGAGGCAATGGATGAGGTGCGGAATCTACCGAATCGCGGACATTTGGGATGTCAATGCAGGCACCTGGAGGGAGGAGGAGCATATTCTCCGACAGCTTGACCACCAGCCCCAGAAGAAGGATAGACTGGAGGCCATCAAGCGAGCAATCCCGTAGGAATGGGTTGACGGCCTGAGGACCAATGAGAGAATGAGGGGGGAGTGGGTGGTACTTAAATCACAGGAGAAACCGACCATGTTCTTCTCCCTCAAAGGGAAGGTGGGCACAGAGTGGTATGAAGCGGAAGCATGGGAGCAGGAAGGAGCACCCAAGATGGTGGGAGAGGTATTGGTGCGCAGACCGAAACGGGATGGTAGGCTGCACGAGCAGAATGTGCGGCCGGTGGTAGTACTTAAGGACCATGTAGTAAACAAAGGAGGAGGATTTCGCCCGTTTAAACCATCTTGCACACCATCGCAGCTTTCGTGGGACCCCTCCATGTGGGAGTGGTCGGCTAGTAACTCCCTCAGAAGGAAATGCGGCATGCACCAGGTGACCACGAAAGTAATGTACAGAACTCTGTTGACGTCGGTGGATATGGTGGGGGAGATGAAAGAGAGATGGAGGAAGAGAGGATGGGTGGAGGAGGAGGTGTTGCAAATGTGGGAAGAGAAAAAATGGGGAAGGGCCAGTAGGCTGCTCACTACCCTGCCAGACCAAAAGCAGGCGGGAGGCTTGTGGCTATGCCTCCACCTTGCACAGCCAACCTGCCAATGGCTGGCGGCGTGCAGCTCGTACAAGGACACAACGTGCAAAGCCTGCCTTGCGGAGGAGGAAACCCTCCCGCATGTATGGATGGAATGCGCTCGGCAGAGGACGTTTTGGGATTGGTGGGATTCGCTGGGAAACGCAGTACCATTAGCAGCAAGTAGCAGGAGGCGATCATCTGTCTTGGTGGGACAAATACTTGGAGGAGTGGCAGCAAGCACGTCTGAACCATATGCGGCAGAAACAGTTCGGGCAGCATTTTGGGCAGCAACATGGGCCATGCGAGGGAGACTCTTGAGAGAGGGAACCCCAGCCTCCTTTGCAACGCTGCGAGCATGGGTTGTAAAGAACTTGAGACTAGCTATCGCGGCGGATGTGGCAAGAAGAAGAGTCGGGGGATGGGCAGTCTTTGTTGAAGCATGGAGGCCGTACTGGACAGTGGTTAGAGTGGGAGACAGGCCGGGGGAATGGGAATGGACTTTCCCCTGGGGAGCAGGCACGGCACAGTCACAATCGAATGAGTCCAGTGAGTTCTAGTCGTAATTAATTAAGAAGTTTAGGAGGATAGCGGTACGGACTTGTTTGGTACGTTAGGGTAGTAAGGTGTGAGACAGGGGAGGGGTTTCCAGGCGGGAGGGAGGGAGGGCGCTCGATAGATAGGTCAAGGGGAG